CTTCAGATTCTTTCGTGACCATCTGGTGGCCTTAAACAAAACCTTGACTCATCTGAGAACAAAACATTACTCCAATTTGCGTAATTCCAATTTTCGTGTTACCTTGTAAAAGCTAGTCGAGCTCTGTAGTGATCCACGCATAGCTGAAGACATAGGGTTGTCTTCTGGATAATAAATTGGAGACTTCGTTCACGCCAATTGAAAGTAGATGTCTATTTCTTAAACATGAAGAACCAAAAATCGATCATCGCATGTGGATGTTGCTCTTCTACGGCCTGATCTTGACCTTTTAGTGTAGTTTTCGTTTTGATTGAACCGCTTAATGGCTATAACAGCATTACGACTTGTACCTAGCACTTTGGCGGCACAATATTGACTACGACCATCTTGCATTGAAACCACTACTGATTCAGCATCCGTTGGTGTTGATGACCATGCTCAATGGCAAGAATGAAGAAGCAAGTACGAAGAATGGATAAATCTTTCTAGCCACTGGCTGTTTAAGCAACTCGGTGGAATATAAATGTACGGCAGCAGTGAAGATCCATCAAGTTCCCTCAATAACAAGTATGCGATAATCGGGAACGTCTTAGAACAGTTTTAAACGATAATGGATAATTATATGTAAAGATGCTTGGGAAAGATTTCTCCGGAAACACAATATTGAAGGAGAAAAGAGTCACATCTATCACCAAAGAGCGAACACAATAGAATGCAGAGTTAAACAACTGGAAAAAGGCTTCCAAGCAAGAGTATCATCCAGCGAGGATCCTCTATAGAATACTTACGTAGCGGACGTCATATTCAGTTTGCGAACAACAACACAAAATGATGCTACCGGACAAACACCACCAGAACTGCCGTTAAGATATCGCTGAGCAAAGAAAAGAAGAAACCAGACAGCAACGAGTGGACCGAGACGTCCAAAGAGCTATGTTGTAACTCTGACGCTCGACAGCCAAAAACGTGTCTTCAAGGAGAATAGGTGCTGATTCTAATCATATAAGAAGATATATTTACGAGGTACATCGTGATTAGGACATAAACGGATTAGTATATGTAAAGAACATTCACCCAGCTCCTCCACAAAAATATGTCATAGACGAAAAAGAACAGTGAAAACAGACTTTCCACATTTCATACTCGTAAGTCCGCAAGTTTATACTCCCATTCTGCACCCCTTATAAAAACCCGAACGTTTCAGAAGGTTTTCCCCAAGACAGATAGTTATTTACTTCAATATTATATAGTTATTTATTTTTCTCTTTTATATATCAGCTTTAGGACATTGTAGCCTAATTTTATATTCTTATAGCTTAGATAGCAAGCAGTACTAAGCCTACATTTGCAAATATTTAAAAAAAATTAGATTTTTCAGTATCTTCTACACACTTACTATTTATTTTTACCTAGTTATTACTATTTTCATCTTTAAAGCTTAAAAAACTATCTACCTTTTGTAATTACTGTAATGTAAAATGCAATAATACCTCATTGTACATTTTTATCAATGCACATACACCAACTCGATAGTCTCCAAAGCAAATAGTTTCTTGATTGCTGCTAGAAATAGCTGTGTACTGTTCATATTGATTCAGATTGTTGAATAATGTATGACAATACATAAATCATAATTTTTTTTGTTTTAGATGATGTTTTACTTAAACGTTTCATTTACTGCTGCAATGGAAGTATTGAAGTTGCGAAAAAATTAATTGATCTGTTTTATTCGATGAGACTTCAAATACCAGAGTTATTTTCAGATAGAGATCCTGCTCATCCAGATATAGATAAGGCTTGGCAAGTTATGTGAGTAAAATTTATGTATACCTTTGAACTTTAAGTGTTAAAAAGGTTCTTTAGAAACAAAGAGTTCCGAAGTAGAAAATGACGGTCATCATTGTTTCCTAATGGTAATGTCCACAATTTTGCTCTTAGAGGTTTTATGCCATCTGTGGGTTTTCCAGGACTAGAAACATTTGATGAGGCTTAAATGTCCAGTACAATATTAGATATTCAGATTGATGGTAAAAATTGTTTAAAGTACATTTAACAGTACATTTAGTTTTCTTAATTCACCCAGCCTATATGCTTTGTTTTAATTATAGGAAACCTGTTTTCCATCTTGTGAAAAGACACTATCTGCCCTATTATGAAGTTCATTTGGAAGAACAGGATAAATCTTGGTCAAAAAAAATCGTCACGATGATTTTTACCTTTGTATTGTAAATATTAAAGGCGTCAATCAGAACAATGAACAAAAATAGATATATCCTGATCTAGGTTCAACAAGAAGCCAGCACTGTATTCTGAAGAAATACCCATTCCAACATTAAGTAGTTTTTTTTAACCTATTCTCTATCTTTCCATTGTTGGATATAGGTCTCCCCCAGTTCTCTCCATCTTTCCCTATCTTCTCTGTTCTCTGCGATGTGGGACCTCCTTGTTTCCTGATGTCATCTTTCCACCTCATCTGTGGTCTGCCTCTTGATCTCTTATGCAACACAATACTGATGGTAATTACTAGGATTTATTATGTATCTACCAGATTCACTAAAATGAATGTTTTTTGTTGTAGGGACCTCCTGCCATTACCCATATTGACCAAAGACAAGTACCAGATACTGGTATATCGCTTAAACACGAGCGATGCCGACAACTTTAATTTTATAAATGCTGCAAAAACTTTTACCATGATTTCTGATGTAAGGATGATTCAAGAAAGTAGTTTAGCAGAAGGCGAAATTCCTGTATTTGACCTGAAAAACTTTACTATCAAGCATTTTACGAAATTTGTCTTCCCGATTATGAGGAAACAAGCAGTATATTCTCAGGTATGTTTCCACACAATAATGTACATAATACTTATACATTGACAAGTTGGGGTCTTTAGCAAATATAGTAAGAATGTCTCCACTATGATTAATTCACGTTAATTCTTTCCAATTGTGCCATATGAAGGCATTTTCTTCCTTATTTAACTTATGTACATATATATTATAAAATATTTTAAAAAATTAATATATAATAAGCAATTTTGCAACCCAAGACACGTAAAATCGTAGGATAATGAAGAATGACTTGCAGAATGAAAAAACCAAACACATCTTGAGAGGGTCACTTGAGGTTAGTGATCAGTGCGATAGTCTGCAGGCTCGGTAGACTGAGACATCGGAGGCCCTAAAGAAGACATCGAAAGCTCGGCGCAATCATAATCCCCGCGGTTTAATCCGGAAGACTATAGAGTTTAATATTAATTCCTCTAATAGCATTCATTTTACCTCTAGGTTTAATTGTACTAACCCCGGAAACTTTCGGAGAATAATAATTTTAAGTCCAATACCGTTCGAAAAATGTTTAGAGTGCAGTATGTCTCGTGCCCGCTGAACTATCAAGCCCTTAAATACTATTTACTGATTACATAAATGTACAATCATGTTGTAATTAAACCTTATTTTTTTAGGAAGCACTTCCAATAAGATTGAAGCAAATACATTTCGTCAATGCGTCCTCATTTTTTGACAAAATCATGTTTTTCATGAAACCTGTTTTGAAGAGTGAAGTGGTAAAAATGGTAATAAAAACTTTTATTCAAATATATTATGTTCATTCTTTTTTCTTAATTTTGCATGAATATGTTTCTTCATTTATTTTTGTCTAGCTTTTTGTTTTTATTCTGTTTAAAATTGATCTGATTTCTAACCATTTTATGTAATATAATTATGTCTGGAAAGCCATGCGGATACTCAAACAATAATTTTAGCTTCCCGAGTACTTTTTTACTTTCATTTCGTAATCATTTGTGTTGGCAAACCTATTTTGTGGAAATGGTATCTTTTTCATATGTAAATTTATGTAGTACTAAGGAAGCATATCCTATCTAACTTTTTTTTTATTTGTTAAGACAGTTCTTTTTGTCGACACTACTTGTTACTTCTCTCAATGTTTATTATAGCTTTGAAATTATTACAGCTTCACGTCCATCTTCCAAATTCTGAAACTCTCTACGACTTTCTACCAAGAGACTTGCTTCCAGAGGAATATGGTGGTACAATTGGTTCGTGTGAAAACCTGAAGAAGATATGGCGAACAAAGATGTTAGATGAACGAGAATATTTTACAAATGAAGAGTATTGGAAAGTGGATGAATCCAAAAGACCAGCTGGCAGTGATAATTCTCATTCTCAATACTTTGGTATGCAAGGATCATTCAAAACTCTGAGTATTGATTAAAAGTTCCAATAAAATATTATTTTTTAACTTGTTTATTTATTGTGTAACTAATTTCAAGGTTTATTTCTTCCGTCATTTCTCTCCAATTAAAAATCTCTCTAAAAAAACTGAAAATGCTAAAAATGGGCATTTCTCACTGTTTTTGTCTCAAAGACTGTTTATCACCTAGTTTGCCAATACTTCTTCGTCCATTTGATGACTTATCTCGTGCTGCCTTTTCGTTGCCACCTATTTCAACGTGTGACGGTACCCAGAGGAACTCTACTTCCAAATTGTTTTGATATATACAGTATAAAATTCACTTAATCTGCTGTAATGTTGGATGAGAGGGATAAATTTGAGAGATTGATGTCAGACAACTAAGTGAACCAGATATTATAAGAGATTTGAGAAGTTTTTGTTCTAGAATAAAGGTTGGGGCCTTAATTATGGCAAATAGTTCTGCTGTAAAAATACTTATCTCAGTCCAGTTGCATCCCTAGGAATTTTATTTCTTTTATATATTCTATAGAATTGTATAAAAATAGATTTGGGAGCTTTTATTAATTTTATTATTTTCACTATTACTATTAAATATATACCTGTATACCCAAAGGCATAATACTCGAGTCCAACATTATCAGGGACACCTTGCCTGTATAACGAATTTTACCTTAAAAAACGAGGTTGATAATCCAATAGATCGTCAATTTTAGTAACCATATTAACAGCAATTTTGGTTGATTTCTCTCTGTTAAAGGCACTAAATAAACCAATAAAAATAAAACAGCATTTACAGTTCATATATTTCGTTCTATATAAAATTGAAAAATAATACACACTGAATAATTAACAATAAAGTAAAACCTTATTTTTTCACACAAAGAAAAAATGTATAAGTCATCAATAAATTAACTTAACGGTAATAATTACAAAGTCTTATGTAAACTTAAAGTATCTTTCAACAATTGATTGCGAAGAGTCCACAAAGCTGCGACTACGTTATCGTGTTGGTCTGCCTTGCGTCCCAACCACGCAGTAACGTTCTTCAATTTTTCCATGTCGGGTTCGGGAGTATTTTCTTGTGCAGCTTGCAGAGTTTTTTCCCAAGGAGTTATGTGCTTGTTTTCTGCTTGAAGACCTTCAATATATCTGAAAATTACCAATTTTATTAGACTGTAATAATATTAACAACCAGTTAAAAAAATTCAATGGAATAGGTAATTTATTTGAAAAATTCTGTAATACAGTGAATCTCTCTCTCTCTCTATCTCTCTCTCACACATACACACACACTCTCTCTCTCACTCAGTAGATTTTGCTCCTAGTAGATGATAAATATGCTCCAGACGATCTTCTGGTTTTCCTTGAACACATAATCAAAGAAAACCTGTCCAAATCTAAAACTGTTTTAATACATCGCCACTACACATCCGGCAATTTTTAGCACCGAGGGCACCAACTAACAAAGCACTGCGTATAATATAACATAATATAATACCAGAACTATGCCATCGGAAGAGAAAATTACAGAAATCCTAGAAAAACTTTTTGAAAAGTGGATTTTGTAAATCTGTTATTACTCAATGAACTGAATGATGTGGCAGAAAGAAATTATTTTTAAACGTAGGGCGACGTCAGTTTTCACTGAATATGTATAAAGAACAAAAGAGTTGGATGACTGCTGCAATTCACATTATAAATTAACTTGTACCCAATGAATGCCTTATTCAAAAAAGTATCACTAGAATGAAATATGTTACGTATTATTTTATTGAAAAAGAAACTGTCCACAGAAATGTTTATTTTGACCACAGACTGTACTCATTTTATATTTGTAACTTTAGATATATTTCACAAACGTATCACTCCGGACTGACTAAAGCTTAAAACATTCTACAATACAGGTAATTTACAAAAAAAAGTTCAATATTTACTTACTTTATATATGCTTCGGAATGTAGTACGCGTTGTGGACGTGGAGGAACAGCTATAAACATGGGTTCCTGTGGCTTTTGGGCATTTGGAGACAAAACTGAAGATATTGAGGCATGGAAAGCTAGTTTGGAAAAAAATTACTAGTTACTAATAAAGGTAAATACAAAGGTAAAGAAAAAATACATGTTTGCTTATATATAAAGAACGGTTATTTTTATATCATTGTTTTCATCTACATTCCTAGCGGTAGAGTCTTCTTCTTTACGTGCCATCTCCGCGACGAAAGTTTGCAATCATCATGGTTATTCTGATCTTAGATGCTGCCGTTCTGAATAGTTCGATTGATATGCATTCATACCTTTCCCTCAAGTTACACAACCATGAGATTCTTCTCTTTCCTATAGTTCTCTTGTCCTGGATTTTCCCTTGTATAATTAATTGAAGTATGTTGTATCTTTTATTACGCATAACATGCGTAATAAACAGTAGTACATATCTTGGTTCACATCCAAGCATCTCTGGATTAGTACGTTGAATGCAAAGAGAGCTTCAGGGGTACCTACGCCTCTAGAATCGAAATTGGGTTTCTTCAATATTCATATCAAGTATTTGGTATATGCGTTTATGGATGATCTTTAAAAACATTTTGAGTGTGTGGGACATCAGGCTATGGTACGGTGATCAGTGCATTCTCTACACTTTTCTTTTTTGTGAGACAAATAAATGTTGAGGTCAACCATTCATTGGGTATGTCACCCGACTGATAAATTTCATTAAAGAGCTGTAAGAGGACATCCATGTACTCATTTATTTTAAGGATATCAATAGGCAGTTGATCTGGCCCCAGGCTTTTTCCATTTCTGGTGTTCTTTAGTGCTTACAATATTTCTTCCTTTGTAACTTCTATACTTGTTTCTCTGTCCTCAAAAGATATGTCTTGTAGGTTTCCTCTTTCGTCGTCGAAGAGCTCTACCGTATATTCTTTATATCGTTTTAGCTTTTCGTCAGTCGTGATCATAGTATTTCCATTTTTATCTAAAAGAGTTGTGTTGTGGTTTCTTTTTTGCAGCCCTGCCATTTCTTTAACCTTTTTATGAAGGTTGAATGGGTCATATTTGTTCTAAATATCTTCTATCTCTTTACATTTTTCCTCATAGTAAGTTTGTTTTGCCTCTCTTATCAAAGTTATCATATATTTTCTGTTGGAGTTTGTTTTTTATATCAGCGGTAGTGTACATATATTTTTATAGATAAATATAGATATACAGATAGAATTTATCCTAAGGTACTTTCTCCATTACTGAACGTTGGCGATAATTACAGCAAACACCCTCTATCTTGAGCTGTTCTTAATAATGAATGGCTTCCTATGCCTATCCTAATTCTCAGCACCATTTTCTTCTTCCTGGACCTCTTTTCCTTCCACTATCAGTTTCATTATGAGTCATAGGAAGTTGTATTTTTCTTGTCTGTTTAAATATGTCCAATATAACTCATTTTCTGTTTTTTTTTACAATGATTAGGAGTTCTCCCTCAGTCTCCATCCTTCTCAGCATCTCATTGTTGCTGCGTCCAAGAGATCAACATCCTTCGAAAAATCCACATCTTCTGTCTGGCTCATACTTGTAGTTCAAAGAGTCCATGCTTTTACAGTTCGTATAACAATACGGAATAAATGAATTTCTTTACAAATCTGTATCAGATATCCAATGATACATAGAGTTTATTGGGAATGTTTTCATTCTGCAAAAAGCGAATCTAGCATACTGTGTACGAGCTCATATTTATATATAAACTCTAAACTATCTTGACTTCCTGGTCAAGATGGCTTGTAATCCAGCAAACAAGATACTGAGATACTTGTAAGGGTTCTATCTGTTTGATATAAATACGAACATTATGCGTTTGGTGTACCTGCAACAGCCATCTCTTTTGTTTTATTCGTGTTTATTTTCAGTCCTAAAGTATTTCCTTCTCTTATTATGTTTATTGCATCTGTCATCATATCCTAAGTTGTTTACGTCTTCTCCATTGATTTTGAATATATTTCTCCTTCTTCAATATTTTTAAGGGCATTTGGAAAGATCTTTTCGGCTCAACAAACTTTTTACTACAAGATATCATTTCAATTATTCTATCCACCTTCAGCTTATCTCATTCATTGGTCACTATGCAGAGATACTGGTATCCATCTTGTTCCAGCATGCTTCTTAAACAATATACTGCCAATAATTTTGGTGGCAAATCCACTAGTAAAAAAACTTTTTTTTTCAAAACTAACCATTGTTCTGCCCTTTGTGGATACAATTTGCTGTATTGCTTGCAGATAACTTTATTTCTCACTACTTCGAAGTCAATGCTTAATTAATAAATTGTAAGAGAATGTTTGTTGTAATTTGAAGAGTCCTTCATAACGTTGTGTCTTTTTCTTCAAGACAGCAATAAGGAAGGTTACATCGTTGGATTGATTGATATTCGATTTGGATTGATTGATATTTGATAATTTTGTTCGTGAGTATATTAATTTAAGCAACTTATCAAAATAAATTATGCAAATCAACAAATATTTGTCCTTAAAGTGCCTATTAAAGGCACAATAATAATGTTAAGCATTTGCCCCACCTATACACCACATATTATTAAATAAATCTTATGTTAGCATGTTACTTAAAATGTAACCAATGAAAACGAATTATTCAACGCACACTAAAATGACAGTGACGTCATTCGATCTAATAATTCGTTTGCATTGGTTATATTGTATGTAACATGCTAGACGCTGCTACTTGCTACGTGCCAAGTGCCACCTTATATTAAAACCTCGTTTGTGGCTAGAAGGAATTTTAAAAATAAATGTAGACCAAATCAAATACATTTTGATATATGCAAGAAATTTTGTTACCTGTGACGGATGAAGAAACACTTCCGGAAGTTGTGTTGAAAGTATTACTAGCCGCTGTTTGCAAATAGAGAATACACATTAGTAAATTTCATGAAAACTAATAACTTTGTACAATATACGAGGATGATCCTAGAAGGACCTGGTCTAACATAGAAAAATACCTTTATGCTTCAACCTCGCAATCTGGTTTTAAAAGTCAAGTGATGTATTCACTTCATAGTCTTCATACCTGGTTGTAAACTACCTAAATCCTACAAATTGTCAGCGTTATCTCATCATATCTTCTTTATAGACAAATTTATAGTCAGCAGAACAAACAAAATATTACAATTTGAGGGGAGAGAAAACTAACACAGGCAAGAAAGATGGAACCTGGAAACCAACTTTAATATTGGCCAATATTGAAGCAATAAAAAGGTTCAAATAACTGGAATAGGGGGAACAGAGGAACCAGAAATTCGAAAAAGAATAATAAAGGGCAACAAAGTCTATTTCCATCAGACTCGTATATTCTCTACACCGCAAATTGAAGACTAATATCTACAGAATCATAATTTAGATAAGTAATATCGTCTGGAGATGACTGAAGGTAGAAAACAAAAAAAAAGTTTTTGAGGGAAACTGTCTACAAAGAGATCTTTGCATATAACAATAAAAATGGAATATGAAGATCCAGATATAAGCAAAAACTTTACCAGGCGTCCAAAAAAAAACATATCTAAGGATTCGTTAGGGTCCAGAAGCTTAAACAGACTGCATATATAGGTTTAATTGAGATTAAAAGGAAATGGCAATTGAGTGCCGGTTTGAAACTGTGCGGGGAGCTCTAAACAGAGTTACCTAGGTGATTCTCAGAGAGCTGGTAAACTCTGAGCGATTATAGCCTTGGCACACGGTTAGAATAAAAATGCACACGGAGACAAAAGAAAAACGAGATGGTACAGCAGACTGTTCTGGGTCTACAAATAAAAGGAAACTGAGTAGAGACGACCCCCTGTTGTGGATTCTGTATGTGTCCCTAATGGGTCTCAAGGGACTACCTAAGCTCTGACGTCACAATTGACGGGGGTTTTAAAAACCTTTCCAAACATTTCTAATTTGTGTGTATTTGTCCCATAAGAAGTTCAAAATATTGGTTTTTTTAATTTGAAGAATAAATAAAGACTTTTGGTTATCAACATTCATTCTGTGCGATTGTTATTATTTGTTGTTCGTGAATTTTTGAGGTAAGAATATCAAAAGATTAAGATATTTACTATGAATGTTCATATTTTGAGGTTATGTTATGGTTTGATTCAAACTTGTATCTATTTTTTTACTGTATTTCAAGGTATTTTGTTTTTATCAGGGTTATTTCAAAATAAATCAATAAATCATTGAATTTATCTATGAAGTTGTAATAGTTGTAAGTTGTAATATAACATGCTGTGGAAACCTTTCTAACAAATTGCCATAATGAGTGTTAAAAAAATGTTTTTTGACTGTTTTAATAGTTTTTAAGATTATTTTTTACACCTAGCCATATAATGACTAGTAAACATGTGTTGAAGATATCCAGTATTTACTGAATTTTTCAGTAATGACAACAAAACTACTATTAACTATTTAAACTACGAGAAAACGAATGTATTTAGTTTTTTATTGACTCAAAATTCGTTTATTAGCACTTAAGTAAAAAATTAATTTATTACTAATTTTAAATTAAGTAAAAAAATACTCAATTATATATAATTAATGAATATTTTATGAATAAACAAGTAACAATATCTTCAAAAATATTGAAAAATAATCAATAATCATAATCTTTAAAATATGAATATTCATAGTAAATATCTTAATACTTTGATATTCTTACCGCACAAATTCACGAACAAAAAATAATACCAATCGCACAGAATGAATGTTCATAACCAAAAGTTCTTCAAAGTCTTCAAACAATTAAAAAAACCAATATTTCAAACTTCTTGTGGGACAAATACACACAAATTAGAAATGCTTGGGCCCATTGTGACGTCTGAGCTTAGGTAGTCCATAAACTCAACCAGTGTCCTACAGGCGAACCTTCAGCAGAGTAACGCAGTTTCAACTGAACTGTTGCTATAAGAAGACTTGATATCGCCTTGATACAAGGCTCTCGATACACCATATAAAAGATTTATCGGGTAGTGGCGGAAAGCTTATACATAGCAAATCTACCGAAGTTCCGAGGACTTATGGAATGTGTACAAGCATCCAACAGGCTCAATAGAACTCATAAGACTGATGTAACACAGGCAGGCGAGTTCATCAGAATAAAAACAGAAAAAAGTCATTAAGTATGTTATTCATTTCAAGTGAGAGATAGTTGATATTCAGGCAGGAATACACTATGTCTGAATATTTGTGTAGAAATCCAAAATTGTTATATTGTCAAAAATATTGCATATATTTATATAAAGCATACTTTAAATTGAGCCTTTCAATTCTTTTTTTTTTGCCAAATTTACATCATTTATGACTCATGTACCCCATTTGATTGACCAGCGTAATTTTCATTAAGTCAACTCATACTTCATCATCCACTACATCAATCACTATTGATGCTCTAAAATTAAAACTCAATGACAGGTAAGCTTGAATAAAATGAATATCCTGGCTGCCTTATCTGTATAAAGTATCTGTATATTTTCCCATTTCTTTTCTTTATTGCAGTATTGTCAATCAGATTGATTTCTCTGGCAATAGAATTTGTCAACAACAACCATCATCTAGTAAGACCATGTACTTCTGTGACTTCCCTCGTATAATAATATCAACCAATCTAAATTAATAAACTACGACCAAGTAGCTACATTGGGATTCAAATTACTAAAATACTATATGTACAACTGAAATCCATTCTAGCCAAATCCATTTGTCATGCACTAGTGAATAAAAATCTGAATGTATAATATTGAGGATATTTAGTACCAAGGCTAAGACTATATAAATTTAATTCTCGATATTGAATAACGTTTTTACGTTCTAGAATACTACATATTTCAATACAAGGTTTCTCTGAGGATCCTAGTCTGTGTCTTGTATTCGATAATACAAAAATCCAGTTTTTGACCACCATAAAACAGATGACGATGTTTTTCGATAAATAGGTTTTGCCCCTTTTTATTCAGGAACACTATCCTCCCCTAACCCCTTGGGGATAATTCCTTTGTTAATTTTGTTAATCTATTATGTTCTTTTTCTTTTTTATTCCGTTGCCATTATTTTCTTTCATTTTTTTATTGGTTGTCTTTTACTTTTCACTTACCAGTCTTGGCCAGTCGTATTGCCTTTGTCATAAATAAAACGGCACGACGAAAATAATTCCAGCCAAAACGTATAAACTTGAAAAATAATGTAGAATGGATGTTTATTTGTTCAGAAACACCCAACATGTTTCCACAATACCATTGAAACAATGTAGACCTGTCAATTGTCAATGATCATACCATTTATTTGACAGAAAGGTTCAGACTGAATAAAATAAACAAACAGCCGAGAACCATTCATTCTTCCTTAACGGACGAACTATCTGAGGTCGGATTCTATAATTTTGAGTACGCAAAGCATCAAATTAATAGATCATTCGCGTTTAGCTCTTATTTGTTATTTAATTAATGCTTTTTCCTGCCAATCAAAAATCAATTAGAAGGCAATTTTTCGTAACCTTGCAATGTATTTAAATTTGCGAAATTCTTCACCTTTCTACATTCTTCAGGTGGCCAAATAACACACACTATTACATTTCTTATAAATGTAGCATTCTAAAAAGTATAAAAATCTACTCGTTGAAGAACTTAGCGTTGGTAGTAAAAGCTAAAATACCTACAAACATAAAATTAAATAAAAGAAAACTCACGAGCAGTGGGAGTAGCAGAGGGAGTCGGACGACTAACAGCTGGAGGCTTACTGGAAGGCTTGAAGTTCCTACCACAACATCAATATGATACTCATTGGCATTACACTACTTTTGCAAATTTCTAACTATAACTCATTCATTTAAACAATTTGAAGCTATAATAGTGTATTGAAATTTATTGTATAGAGACAGTCTCAGATTATTATATAATGAATGACAGATTATCACTTTAGGGATAAAATGAACATATGAAAAATATGAACTACAAAACATTGGGAGCAGCTAGTCTCAAATGATTAAAGAGTAACATCAATGATTACATAGCCAGTAGTGTATAACAGCCACACAATAAATTACAGTGACTTCTATAGACCAATTCAGTGGCTTCCTTTTAACTATTGATGTTGTTTCAGAAATGTTCACTATTATTGTTGATATTTTGTTTTTCATAATCATATTCCACTCTTTTTCTTGCCTCATCAATTCGTTGGATCTTCGCACAAGTATGACATTATTCACCAATTATTTTTTATATTATATCTCTGACCTATTCACAGAAACTAAATCGTTATAAACTAAATTGTTATAACAGTTGTTATAACGACTAATTGTTACCTTTGTGTTCGATTTATTAGGGTAAGTATTTATTTATTAGCTAATGACGAGAAATAATGTATTCTAACCTCTAAAATGACATTTAGTTATTTAAATCTGAGTAAAAATCTTTATTTTTATATTATGTCTGGTAAACCTTTAAATTCTCAAGCAAAACAACTTGTGTTAAATAAATATTTCGAATTAGAACAAATGATTGAATGATCTTCGAAGTAATTTTTATCTGTATAAATGTATGTATGTACATATAAATGATTACTAACAAAAGCAGGTAGCCGGTATAACCATAAACAAATAGTCCTTTGTTTTGGTCTCTTTGTTTATGGTAGATACCCCTCGAATCTTAACGACACCACTTATATACAAATGACATCGTAACAAGCTCAAGATAAGGTTTTCTGAAATATACCAACAAAGTTAGTATGTATAATATATGCCATCGTGTAAAATAAAAAGTGCAATCAGGTTTAACTTTTTAATATGGATATCATTCCTAGGAAAAGAGAAAGGATCATAACACTTTGTGATCATACACCAATGACTCAGAGGGACATTGCAAAGGAGTGTTGTGTAAGTTAAGTTTGGTTGCAGTAAACAAAATAATTAAACAAAAAAAGGAAACAGGGTCAGTTGAAGTGCAGCGGAAAGGAAAATGTGGAAGAAAACGGAAGACTACTCCTCGAGATGAAGCCTTTCTTTTGCGCGAATAGCAAACTTACGTCTCTTAGAAGGAGGGAGAAGAGCCGTGAGAACGCAGAAGAAACAACTTCTGACAGCGCCTATGATGAAAAAACGACTAAATTGGGCAAAAAATACGCTCATTGGAGTGCAGAAGATTGGAGAAAAGTGTTATTTTCTGACGAGACCACTTCCAGGCAGTGCAGCGATCAAATTTGTACGAAAGGCAGCAATGAGTCACTTTCTCTAGCCTATTACCAAACAGTTCTAACCAAACATCCACCAAAAAATGTTCTGGGGCTGTTTTTCATACTCAGGAACTGGCACTCTATATTCCTACTGAAGGTATGATGAACAGTGAAAAGTACAAAGCCATGCTATGGCAACGCTTAGCTATAGAGCTTGACAAAGTACAGGCCGAAGGGACTGCAATTTTTCAACAAGATTCAGCTCCATGCCATGTATCGAATATTATGATGAATACTTCAAGGATATAATATTACCCTTCTTGATTGGCCTGGGAATTCACCTAACCTTAATCCTATTGAAAATGTTTGGGCAATATGTAACGCTAAACTGCAAAAATTTGTACGACAAAAACAAAAATGGTGGAAGCAGTCATTAAGGTGTGGTTTAGGAGATGAAGCAATCACAAATAATTGCAAAAAACTTGTGGATTCCATGCCTAGAAGACTCCAGGAAGTCATAAAAATAAAAGGGAGACATATTAAATACTAATTAATGAAAAAATCTCATGTAAGTGTAGCTAAATTTACCTTTGGCCTAAATAAATCATATTTACAAATTGATTCTGTTTGTTCACATTAATTCGCACAATACTGTATTTATTTGCTTATATGCAATTATCCACTTTTATTTCTGATAACTAATTAGCTATTTTCTAAATCTTACAACCGACTTAAGTTTGGCTCACATATTTTAGTTTAATTGCTGTAATACGAATGATAACAATGTGCAAAGATCCAATTCATCTACTGTATAAAGTAATCAAATAACACAAAACAAATATTTTTTTGTTAAATGAAAGAGTTATAGTCAGCTAATACCTAATCAATTTAAAACTCATCCAAGTATAAAATGATCGCTCTATGAAAAAATATCAAGCACATGCCACTCGTGAAGTAAAATTTTGACGAACCGGCTAAAATTTCTGCAGCAGTTGAAACAGCTGGTGTCAAAACTGGCATCACTCTATTTCCGACAAAGTTCCTATATAATTGATGAACGCAATAAAATTATTAATAACCCATATAATCATATCCTGAATGATGTAAATGATGATTTCATTAGCATGAAACCAGAACGTTCATTTACTTTTTTAAATTATCTATCTTTACACTCTTAGAGATAAGAAAAACAATCAAAACATTATATTCTGGTAAATAAGAACTGTTCCTGGCAAAAGTAATTTTTTCTTGCTCCTGTTCATCAAATAATGAAAACTTAATTAATTTTTAATCTTGCAATTGTTTAATTTCATCAAAACGTTTTTTTTTTCATCATCCAGATGCGTTTCAAATGTTTTTTTTTTGCTGTTTTGCCTCAAATAATCAAAACTTAATTAATTTTTAATTTTTTAATTTCATCAAAACTTTTTTTTTCCTCCTGATGTATGTGCTTTGAATGTTTTCTCTACCTCTTCTGCATACCATTGAAACTTTTTTCTTTTATCCTTATGTTTAAATTTTTGATATGTTCCTATTTGTTTACCGTATTTAGTTTGCCTTTATCACTGGTGATATATTTGGTTTAATATATATACCTACTATATAGTTCATAGCTTATTCTCTTCGTCATTTTTATTTATTTGTTTTTATTTTACTTTTTTGATAGAACAAGTGGTATAATTTCATCTTATATATTATTTGATTCACTTTTTATTCGTGCTTCTGCTCCTTGTTTTATACTTTTCTCAAAATGTTTTGTAGTTTTCCATCCTATTTTATTGCCTTATAAAATGCTTCCTACTCATGAAACAACATTTTAAGAATATTATAATACATCATCGGATTTATGTCCATCTCTATATTAAAATGTCGCCTTAACAAAATCACCGATTGTACTTAACATCTAAATTAATATATCGACTCAAATAATACTTACTTGCTGCGATTTTCTGGAGGAACGCTTCTTCCATTGCCTTTGTTGATGTGCATGTCACGTACATGCCTAATCAATCTGGTAATATTAGGAAAAGGCGGAACGTTCTTCTTAGACCTGGCGCAGTTGCGCCAATAGCAATTGAATTCTGTCAAATTGTTTTCATGATAAAATGCTTGCACGTGCCCTTGCGATTCTTTATCTTTGACGCAATGTTCAATCAGATCGGATACCTCTTCAAACTGGTAGTCACAGTTGTCCCACATACATTCGAAAACCTTGAAAATATGAAAATTATTACAAACTGAAATTAACTCTAAAACGAGTTAAAATATCGGAAACCAAATGGATGAGAAATCGTAACGGATGGAAACGTATGTAAATATCGCACCCCAAAAGATTATTTCAAACAACTCTCTAATTCTAAACATATCTAACACCTTCTCGTAAAAATTTAATGACTCACTTGATCAACTGGTGGTGGAGGTGGAACCTGAGCGACAGCTGGGCTTCCACATTGATCTTGTTCTAACACCGACAATGCCTTGGTTTCTTCATTTAATTTGGATGCCTTTTCTTCCCATTGCTGTTTCTCACTAGTAGGTAGAGACTTCCATTCACTACCTACAATACGACTGATGTCCCCAAAAGTGGACTCCGGATTATTCTGAACGACCTGTTTTCGTACTTCTCTGGAGTACAATATGTAGCCAGTAACAACTTTGTTCTTGTTTGTTTTCTGTAGTAAAAGAATTTGTTAGAAAAATAATATCGAGATGACTATTGGAGTCAAAACTTAACAAACAATGTTTTTTACTCTAGATCATAAAAGTTGGCATATTAACCTTATCCATATTAAATGTTTTCTGAAAACTCTTGATTATGTGGAAGAAATACACTCATGGAATTTTTCCGCAGTATTCAGTAAATATTTTAACAATGAAACATGTGTGAGGATTACATAAAAACGTGTGACTAATATATATCCATATAAAAACAGTGAAAATATTAACATCAACAGTTATTACCAAGGTGCATATAAGATCAAAATAGATCAAGTTTGAGTTCATGCAGTTCACAATGCCTTAAATTCAGTAAAACAAAGATTCGTATTTTCAAAACCTATGTCAACCTGATCTGTTTTGATTTTCTGCAACCAAGTGTAAGAAACTTTTTTCCTTCTAATTCCGTTGCACGCAATCAATGACAAAAATGTGTCCTTATAGTTTTGTTCAGTTAATAACTTGAAGATATGTGTATATTTAACAATATTAATATATATTTTTATATATTATATTGTAACTTTGTTGATTGTTGTACGGGAAACGCCAATCGTGAATTGTGAATGTTGCAGACTTTAAATTATCCATTTTAGCGGAATTCGTTAAATTAATCGTGGCAATGAAACAGTGGGTATGGCTGAATAGATAACACAAAGACTTAGCAGTAACTAATAGCTCACAGGTGCGCCACTGAATGATTGTCAAGCTTCGGATTGTTTCTCAGGTCGGAGAATTCCGGTAACTCCGGGCGAAAATACGGAATTTCTCGGACCTTACCATATCTGAATTTTGTCACATGTATGTAAACGTAAATAATATTAATAAAGACCATAATCAAAATAAGTTGTTTTAATTGTAGACCATACTTAAGTAAGCAGACTATCACTACTGCCAACATAAATTTGAACAGCTGATCGATGACGTGAAACGAATTTAGTAGGAAAAATCGTATACACCTAATAAATTAACAAAATAATGAATAGTTATATTAGTATGTTCCATCAATCACTCATTCAATCACACAGTATTGCGTTTGATAGTTACCAATTTCTGCGATCCGAGTATTGATAATCCTAAATCAACATACCTTTTTGCTAGTAGGAACAGGAGTTGAGACAGGGGTGGAAACAGGGGTATTTGAAATAACAGCAGGTATTTCCCCTGAACCAACTGACGGTGGACCACCGTCGAGAGAATCTTCCATGGTTATATCCATGTCATTCATTTTTGTTAATTGTATAGAAGCCTCCTGAAAATGGATCGTGTATACTTCCAAACCAACATTAAATGTTACCAATATAAATGCATTCCCATGTAACGCTTTCAAAACATTTAAATTCAAAAATAAGTAATCTGCTCAATGAGTCAAAATATGAAGATTTATTAAATATAAGGAATACATTTATATATTCTACTGAATATTATATTTTGCTATAAAATAATTCCCTATTAAAAGAGGTGATTTGTCATTTGAAGTGCTAATCTAAGTAAAAAGCTGCAAAAATCCTTTTAAAACTACAGCTAAATAAAATGAACTGCTTAAACTAATAAATGCATCACAACATGGCACTACTTCTAAACCAATACATAATTTTACTACAGACAATTATACAATAAAAATAGAATGAACTCGGGTAAATTTGTTATGTAATAATAGTGCAAATTAAAAAACCAACACCAAAACACCTTGAATTTAGATTTTAACCCTTAACTGGTAGCTGTAGCGTAAAAAGTACGCCAAGCGAGTTCAAATGTGTGACATTTTTAAACAGGCAATTAGCCGACGGCGATTGAGTGAGTATTTACCCTCCCGCCATAATGTCTTCTATCCAGTTTACATGCAGCCATTGCTGCTGCTACTCGCGTTGCCCACTGTCCTGCCCGAAATAATCCCACAGCAGCATTTAAGGCAAATGACTGTTTACATACAGCTACCACAGTGTTCACCACAGCTGTCTGTGTTTTAAGTTTACAAAATTCTCTGAACAATTTAAAAACAAATGAGGAAGAAAAAAAAACGTTGATGTCGAAAAAGTCTTTTATTTGGATAATAATCTGAAACTGGCTTCAAACAATTTGTTTGAGGAAACATGACAAACATTTTCAATGGACTGACTTGTGAGGAATCCGCAGGATTTTTCAACTTTTGCAGAATGTCACGCATTGATTTTGAATTTTTGTTTCAGAAAATTGAGCCCATGATAAAAAAACTAGCAATTTTGCTGATAGTGCCAGAAGTTTTTAAAGTAATTAATATCGTTTTAAAGGACCAAATTAAGGTAAGCAAAAAACACAAGTAAGAGTTAGGAAGTGTTTATTTTGTTTAACCTTCATTGCAATATTTATGAAGTATTGTCTTCCACCATGGCCCCTTTTTTAGAGACTTTTTTTTAAACCTCAGTTGTTCTATTGAGGTTATTTTCCAAATTTGTGCTGATCTTTATCCACACAGGTACTTTGTGCCTTTTTGCAATCTTTATGTGAAGAATCCCACAACAATCTCTTACTAGCATATAACTCTAAAAACTTCAGCACTTAGTCATTACTCCCCTCAACAATATCAGCCAGTACAGCCAGTAAGAAACACATATGCTGTGAAACTGCTACTAAAAAATATTGTAAAAATTTTTCCTCAGAGAGGAGTCTTTTTCATTCATTTTTTGCATTTTTTATGCAAGAGATGATATAAGAAATACTAAATTATACAAATGTTTTCATCAGAAGTACCCAAGAAAATTATACCACGAAGAGGGATGCAAAAGAAACAAGCAAAGGATTATTAGCTTTTTTGGAATGCTGTATCTTGAAAGACCAGAAAAAACTTAGTCATACAACTTTTAAAGAAATATGACAAAGATGACTATTCGCAAAGAAAGCTAGAGGACAAACTGGCCTCTATTAGACAAATTTTGGACATACATATTTATGAAAAACTGTTTGAAAAATTATTCACCAGTGGATCACATGACAATTGACGAGACATTGGTTCCTTTCCTAGTCTTTTTGAGGTCATATACAAACTTTTGTAAAAAAAACATTACAATTGGGAGTTCAACCTTCATTATAAGAAAAACACATTGATTTCTTCAAGATTTTCCCACCTAAGAGCTGAATGTAAACAACTGTCTGAAATTAGCTTCAGCAACTATATTAAAGGTATAGATACTGGTCTAAGAAATGATTCAAAATCATTTTAAAAGTACATCAATGATAAGCAATCTAGTCATAACCTACCAACTCCTTATTTTATCAAGTCCAATCTGCAACAAATAGCCAAGACATAGCTAATTTATTCATGTTCTATTATATTATTATTCTTCCAAACTGTGTATTCATCAAATAACAACAACCTTTAAGTACCAATACATCCATTAACTAGACACTTTAGTACAAATATTCGTCCTTCCAAGATTACCATGACTGATATTTTTAATGGCATAAATGAGCTGCCCAATAAGCTTACGGCTGGTCCAGATAGAGTGCCTAATTTTTTATTAAAAAAATGTGTGTACCCTTGTAATGCCATTTGTTATATTGTTTAATAGATGTCTTAAAACCTCTATATTTTCTTTTTCATAGAAAGAAAGTTATGTTGTTCCTATATTTAAAAATGGTCAGAAAGACAATATTAAAAATTCGTAGCATTTATATACAATCTGTAATCCCTAAGCTCTTCAAATGTCTTATAGCAAAGCAACTTTCTTGATTTTGTAAAGGCTTAACATCTCAATCACAACATGGTTTTCATAGCAAAAAATCCACTAAAACAAACTTGGTTTGCTATCAATCTGATATATTATCTCATATGGAAGACTGTAAACAAGTAGATACAATATAAACAGATTTTTCCAAAGCATTTGATCATGTAGATCACCAAATACTTTTGGGCAAATTAATTAATGTAGCCTTTTATGTTAGGTTTGTTGAATGGATTAAAAACTACATCTGGGAGAAGTCAAAGAGTCAAGGTAAGTTGTCATCTGTCTAACAGTATCTCAATAACATACATGGAGTTCCTCAAGGAGGCGATACTTCTCCACTTCTTTTTAACATCTTCGTTAACAACATGACTTCCTGTTTTCTGAATAGCAAATGTCTAATGTTGGCAGATGACTTGAAATCTTGGAATGTTATATATAGATAGCTTAAAAGATCAAGCCTTGCTACAAGAATACTTAGACTGTCTACAAAATTGGTGCTTGTTTTATAAGTTTTTCTCATAAAGTCAGTAGAATTGGAACAAGCTATACTAATAGTAATCAACCACTGAATTATTTTTCTTCTATTCAGGATTTGGCTGTTATTTTTGATAAGCTTACTTTCTGTGAGCCCATAAACTCTATTTCAATAAAGGCTTAAAATTCTTGGTTTCATTAGTAGGAATTGCAAGTATTTTTCCATTGATTCAACAAGATTAGTGTATTGTTGCATTCTGTATTGAACTAAGCACACCTCTACTGAATACTTGATGGAAGATGTACATGAATACCTTAATAGGCAAAGAGGAACTTTTCATATAGCAAGAATATGAACTTCACTTGCACAAAGGAGCATAATACTCAAACGCTCTTGAATAATAAACTGCCCAGTAATATCAAGGAAAGTCAACTAGAAAAATTTAAATTTTAATTAAAACAATTACTTTTTGACAAATACTATTAGACCAATAAGTTTTGAATAATTTTAAATTTCTTAATTGTGCTTTGTAACAGTAATAGAAAATGTTTCGTATGACATGATGGTTACATTTATATGAATTCTTATTTAAATGTATCAAACATAAGTAGACTTATAAAACCAACATAGCCACAACTCATCCTTTATTGATTGTTGAATAAATAAACTTACATAAAAAAGTGTAACAGCCAAGGGAACACAAGGTTATGGTGGAGAAGAGATGTAATGAGAAGACTCAAAATGAGACAATAAAGGAAAAAGCTATCAGTAATATAACTGATCAAACAAAAAGGATATAACCTACTTACTTCAATCTATATTATAAAGTGATTGGAACTTATTAATAATACTGAGATGCTAGATAAAATTCAATTACCTGCAATGTATCTTTACAATACCTACCTTTACCATAAACTCGAGAAAAATTATTGATCTTTTTGTGTAATGTAAGGTACAACAATATAACTAGCAAAAATTAAGTAACTGTTTGTTATATTAAAAGTATATTAGCTTTATACATGTAGATTAATTCTATAAGTCATATTCAAATTTAAATAATGATTTATCTTGGGTGTGACTAATAAATATAAAATTGTTCAACTACACAGTCAAATATTTCTAAATGAATTAAAAAAAAATAACCAAAACATTTAAGTAATGATTGGTTATAAAGAATCAATGATGCTTTTAATGCTACACTAAAACCTTTTATCAGGTTTTCATTATATTTTTCTCCTAACTACTGTCTAAAACCAGTTTTGCACTATCTCATACAAATGAATAATACTAATCATTTAAAATAGAACAAAGAACTTTTGAAGGATATAGATTAAGAACATTAGAAAGATATTACCTATATTGAATTAAATAAATCCACTATCATAAAAATCCAGAAGTTATTAAAAAGTAAAAAAAAATATGAAACAACTTCATTTTTATACTTAATCTAAAAACAGTTATTTTTGATAAATGACTTCCATGATGGTTTTAAGTTTATTGACCCAAAATCTGACTATAAATTTAGCTAAAATAGCACACAAATTAAATATAGCAGTCAAAAAAAATTCCGCTAGACAACGCCTTGTTACCCTTCTCTTGAATTTTTCATAAATTCTATAATCACAAAAAATAACAATTAAACGTATATTTTACCAGAATCTCCTTATATACACAGACGAAATATATCACGTAAAACACTTCAAAATGTGTAAAATTCACCACTTTTAATAATAGAAAGTTATTTTTACATTTTAAATTATAAACTCTGCTTAGGCACAGGTCATTAAAAAAAGCCTGAATATTATATTTACATTTCCAGGAAAAGGAGCACTATCCATTGCAGTTTCCATATTACCACGATTTCAAGCGATATAAACCATTCACATTATATAAAAACAAGAATTTATTCGAAGAAATTTACCAAAAATTTATTAAAATTATCGAAAAAGCTTTTTTATCTCCATTTCACCATCATTACACCAGCTTGTGTTTTTGACAATTTCTGACAGAAGTTGAGGTTAATGTCGTATCATGACACGGCGCTAAATTTGAATTCTCTCATTTATCGACACG